CAAGGTGAATGTATGCTTTCGACTTCACGTTAGGCTCCTCTGTGAGTAGGTACCTAGGATCGACAAAATGTACTGGATATGAACCTGTAGTATCACGTCTTGAAGGCAGATAGACTTGGATGTTCTTCAGGCGCTCAATCAAGACATTTACTGAAACCTGACCCTCAAATCATCTTTAGACTAGGCCTGGATATCTGTAATCAGGAGAGGCATTGGCGATGCTTAGATGCCTTTCGTATGTGGCGCTGTGATAGCTGCCGGTCTTACACCATGACTTCAGACGTATCATTGTTCGGAACATCACAGCACCATGAGGATCGGCGACTAATAGCGTGGCATAGATACGCAACGTAGCACTTTCCACTGATACCACCCTTGCGCCATCATCGAATAATACCGGCCCGAGGCCCTTTGTGGTCAGTCGAACGGCGAACTAGAATTGCGCTTGAGCCGCGAACTTTCGACTGGTATTGTTTATCTGCGCAGCCGGCCGCTACAATGACAGACGATTGGCCGGTTTCTTGGCATTAGGAACGGTCGACGGATGCTTGGGTGCCGTCTTTGTTCGAAGAGGCGTCGGCAGTAGAAAGCATGGTGGCGCAGGTTAGTTTCCCTTCCTGTCAAACCTTGCGAGAGAAGGGTCCTGGACCAAAACCGGACACCATTTCGTCGTTTTTGGGCAAAATTGAAGGTACCTGGGGGCCTCAATTGAAGTCACCAAGCGTTGAAGGGGATTTGGTCACATGAAGCCATCTTGAAGTCTTCGCAAAATCATGCAGGGCTCCTTGCTGTGGTCTAGACTGGGATCCGAGCTGACAGCGACGACCGTAATCGTTATCCAGATGCACGGGCCTTTGAAATGCCGATTCCAAGGTGAGAAATGGTTTACCGGACCAAAGAAATAAGACATGACACTCGAGACTAGTGACACTGAGTGACTTGGCACGATTGAATTTGATGACTTCTATGGAATCATTTTTTGTATCGACCGGGGGAGACAGCCGCATGCCCGGGATCTGCCCAAGCCTGTGCATCTTACAAGGGCCCCTGAATGCTCTGGGGGTCCCAAGTCTCTGGATTTGGGATGGACTTGAATCTGGTTGCATCGGCTTGCTCCAGCGCTCTGGGCCCGATTTCTACGAGATGAGTATTCTGAATAATGACTGTGCGGCATGAGTTCATGATAAGAGACTTGATCCCATGTGCAAGGAATACATTCATCTATACGTGAGGTTTGGAGTTCTTGACTTACATCTGCTTTCTCTATACGTGCAACCACGTGGTTCCGTCATCCACACACGAGCGCGAAAGGGCTTGAGGGCCTCTAAGCCAGCCGGGACTGCATAGGAGGATAGCGATTCCATTTCATATTTGTTCATTCGTCTGCGTAAATGCCGTGTCTCAAAGAGGCTGACGGTGCCAACCGGTCGTTGAGAAAAGTTGGAGCTTTAAGGAAAGATCAACAGACGTCTATTGCCGTCAATCCCAACGCTAATGCACATTCAGCAGGTCGAGGACGTAGCCATCCCAATGAAGTAAGCAAGTATGCATGCCGTTTGGATGAGGGGATCTCGTGGGGCTTCGAGCAGGCTGTTTGACTCGGACTTCTCAGACTAAGTCATTGTTGAGTACTAAGATTCCAAAACTTGACGCATGCAAGGCACCCCATCTCGCTTTTCCTGGGTGACATTGAGTCGTGAAGATCGCAAAATCCAAGACAAAACGGTACTCCTCTGATTGGGCCATCTCTCATCTAGCGCGGGCTAGTCGCAACGTCTAGCGAACTCGGTCTGGTCCGGGGGCACTGGAGCACAGACGGTATCGAAAGATCGACAAGATGAAGAAGAGAAGCAAAGAAGACGGGGAGGAACAGAGGCAGCCCGAGTTGAGGTGAACACCCTGCTTTTCATGGGTTGCGGGCTTGCCAAAGTGCCAAACAGGGTATTCGCCATAGCTGAGGGACGCCACAATGCGAGGGGGACAGCACGGAACAATGGGATTCGCTGCCTCGGAGGGACTGAGCATCTGTACCACATTGATATTATCGCCAAGCACGCTATCCCACGGCTGGATCTAGCGATCTAAGATGGGCGATCCCCATACTTCTCAGGTGCCAATGCTGTCGTTTGTGAAGCGTGGACGAGGTCTTACTGCGGCAAAAACTTTGTCTTGCAACCCACATCCACGAAAATGCTGTTGTCTTGAAAAGTGCGGCTGCCCCCTGCCCAAGTCCGTATCTGAACTTCAAGAAGATCACGACTACCCCCCTCTCCCTTGCCTTCTTCATGCAACGTACAGACACTACGACATACCACCTTAACAATGGATCCAGCAGCATTGGCCGGCCTCACAATCTACAACTTCCCACCCATGCCGCCAAAATGGGATAGAATTGGCATATTTTACATCACATTCTGCGCAACATGGACAGCAATCGTTTTTGCGGGTATGGCTTTCCTCTGGGCCAACCGAAGAAACCCCATCTTGAGACTTCGCGGCCTGCCTCTGGCCTTTGGGTCCATTATCTTTCTGCACTTGTATTGGTGCATGGCTCAGATTACATACCCGATCGGCGGAACGATGCCCGTGGTCATTGCGTACGACGTTCAGTACTTTGTGATGGGTATCTGGTTTCCGCTCGGTATTGCGTGCTTCCACGCCTCCAACAGCAGATTTCTACACGTTGCGAAGTTGCAGAGGCTTCACTTCACTGGCACTGGCGCTGGTAGTATCCGAAGAGGATGCAATGGTTCGAAGACGTCGTGGCTTTGTCGCCTTAGGAATATGGACTATGGGAGGAGAATCCTGATTTTCATCGGTATCGGTGCGATATTTCAGGTATGTTGGATGATAGAACTCAAAAGCCCTATTCAACTGAACGATATTGACACTCTCAAGTGCCTACTCACAACCGGCATGTGGGTTGCCTGCAAGAAATATCACCCTACCTTCGGCATCCCCGGCACAGAGATCCGCGGAGACAACATAGTAGAGCAGTTGATTGACCTGGGCCGCGGATGGGAGTGGTGGCCAACCCTCCTTTGGCAGTTCATTTGGACTTGGATTGTATGACTTTCTCCTTCCTTGCTTTGATTCATAACCCTCAGCTCCGCGTGATACACTGATAGCTGACTGCCTAAAGGTTGCGCCGACACTCATCTGGCGGGCATGGAGTATTCGAGATACAATGGGATGGCGAACTCAGACCATCGGTTGCTGCCTTTCAGGGTGCGTTACAATTCCTAGCCGTCTTCGCGTTCGAACTTTGCTGACAGCATTGACTTCTAAGTCTTCATGCAACACCGATGTTTCTCATTGCATCATATGTACCAGCCTTTAACACCATCAACATGTACTTCCCTCCAAGCCAATGGTTGGTAACCCTACTACTCCAAAGCCTTGTAGTTGCTGATGCAAGGACCTAGGATTCATCTCTCAACCATGATGTTTGAGATTTTCACGATTTTTGTCCCACTCTTCCAAATCATTCGACTCCGCATCCTCCTCAGGAACGTCACGGAAGCCAACGCAAAATGGGAGACTGAATCACAGACAACACTCAGGGCGTCGACTGTAACGTCGTTCCATGGCAAGAAACATCCAGTCTCTTCCAGCCAAGCTGAAAAGGGGCAGCCGATTGTCTGCCAAACGGATTCCGCCGATATTGGTACAGATATTGATAGTCGTCTATTGACAATGACCGCACTCGATCACGCTTTAAGGGAGAATCAGGGCGCGTTGCAGGAGTTTTCTGCCCTCAGCGACTTCTCCGGCGAGAACATTGCCTTCCTCGCTCGCGTCTCCGAATGGAAGTCGAGATCCTGGCCGAATGCCATTTCGGATTCGGAATCTCGCGAGTCTCTCGCTCCAGAAGAGAAACTTGATGCATACAATCTCGCCCTCCAGATTTACGCCGACTTCATCTCTCTGGAGCATGCTGATTTCCCTCTGAACCTTCCATCACAGGATATGAAGCAGCTGTTCCGGGTATTTGACAAGCCTGCCCGCATCTTGTTTGGGGAAGACGCTTCTGTCAACACTGCTGTCCCCTTCGATGACGCTTACCTTAGATCACGCACAGGGTCAAGCTCGGGAAGCAGCGGTGATATCCGGCATCAAGCTCGCTACACCGGTGATATCCCCGCGGGATTCAGCTCTACGGTGTTTGATAGCGCACAAGACCACATCAAGTATCTTGTGTTGACAAACACCTGGCCTAAGTTTGTCCGGGAGATGCACTCCAGGCGACGGTCCAGCGAGACCAGCCGGAGTGTTATGACAGCCGAGACAACAAAATCCGAGTCTTCTCTTCTGACCAAAGTCTCGAGTAGTGTCTCGAGCCTTCTGAGATCTGTCAAGGCTATTTAGGATTGGGCTTGCCCGAACCTTCTTGGCTGTGAAGGCGACGTAACATGACGCCTTCTCGAGGTCATCTTCTTTTCACACTACGTCACAGACGGTAGCCCGACACTTTTCTTTCGCTTCAATATTTAACTCAATACCCGGTTGAAGAGATTCAACCAACATACTATAGTACTAGTACCATTCTTCATGTCTCTCACCCAGTCCATAGTTGGCAGTCAGCTACCAATTCACTACGGTGTCATCTCAATTTTGGCCTTAACTTTGTCTACCATTATGTGGAGAATTGTCTGTTGGTAACTCGAGTTTAAGCTTGCAAGACGGCTGAAGCTGTTTGAATTTACTTAGAGCAAGCTAGACCTTTGACCCTCGTGCTTAGGGTCAGCGAGGGTCCAAGTACTCTAAAGATCTCCAAGCAATCATAATCGCAGGATTGAACTCGACAGCCATCATTTTTGAAGTACTTTGTCATCAAAGACATTGGATTCCTAAGACTAGGTTGAAAGAAAAAAGACCAAACATCTTTAGACACGCTTGCAATCAGTAATCTACACCCGCTCTCCCTCGAGACTGTCATGTTGAATGTTACACCACCACTCTCGCCTTCATTCCTCTCACGTGCACCTAGGTAAATTCCCTTACGCCTCGCCCCAAATCTCGTCAGCAATCTTCCTAATCAAAGAAAGCTTGCTCTTCTCGTCCTCCAAACTCAACGGGTATCCGCTCTCATGCGTGCTGAAACCGCACTGGGGAGACACGCAGATACGTTTGAGCGCCTCCTCCTTGGTCTCACCGCTTCCCTTGGCGACGTACTCCGCAGCCTTGAGAACGCGGGCCTTCATCTCCTCCTTATCCTCGAGCTTGGGGATCTTGGTGCTAATGATACCCACAACGACGTTCTTATTCTTAGGGAGGAATTGGAGGGGCTCGAAACCGCCGGCGCGCTCGGTGTCGTACTCGAGATAGAATGTGTTGACGTTGAGGTTCTGGAAGAGCTTCTTGGCGATGATGTCGTAAGAACCCTCGGCGAAGTGGCGGCCCCCGATGAAGTTGCCGCGGCACAGGTGAATACCGGTGTGCATGTCTTCGGGAAGCTTGCTGACTGTGTCGTTGTACAGAGCAATGTAGGCGTCAAGGAGGTCTTCAACGGTGCCTTCATTGTCCTTGTCCTCCTCCCAGCCTTTGCGGAACTGTTGCGAACAGAAGTCTGCGAGAGATTAGCAATTGTAGTGTTGCCGGACTCAGCTTACTCACAAGCCATGCCGGGGTCGTCGAATTGAACGTTGCGCAAGCCAGCGTCGTAAAGCTGCTGGAGTTCGGCCTGGTAAACCTTGGCAACATCCTTGAAGTACTCAGCATCGTTGGCGTACGCCTCCTTGGTGTATGCTCTGCCCTGCTTGTAGCGCATGTGGAACCAAGCTGGCGTGATCATGGTCAACTTGATGTCCTTCCACTCTTCTTTCGGCAGGGCAGCCTGCACCAAACGCAGCTCATGCAAGTTGGACTTGGACTTTGAGGGCGAGTGAGACAGCTTTCCGCCGGCGATGACAGAGTCGCCGGGCATGACCTTGCGGTCCTTCTCGATAAGGCTCACCACGTCGGGGTGGTACAGCCGGAACATGCTGGCCTCGGCATCCTGCAAGCGGGTAGAGCCTTCGAACTCATCCCACATGAGGCCCCAGAAACGGGTGCGGTTGAATTCGCCCGAGGTGACGCCCTTGATGCCCAGATCGCGCTGCAGCTGGACGACCTCGGCGACAGACTCCTTCTCGACGGCGGGAAGACCGGCTTCCTCCTCGGACAGACCCTGATCACGGATCTTGCCTTCGCGAATATCGAGGAGCTTCTGAGGGCGAAGGAGAGAGCCCATGTGCTCTGCCCTGAAAGGGGGCGCTTTGTGGAACTTGGTGGACATTTTGGAAGGACTACTGGTATCAATGGAATGCTGGGAAGTAAGATGTATGTCTCTATACTCTACAAAACACCCCTCACGTCAAGAATTTTAAAGGTCGCGATATCTCGGTGGGTGGCTGATCTACCTAGTGTCGAAGGCGGGGCAACCGGATTTATAGCAAACGGATTTACATGGCGGGGCAAAGTGAGGGGTCAATTCATTCAGACATGTATTGTTTGCCGATTGATGGCCAAGGTTGAGCTGAAAGCAAGTCGCCAGGGGTCAGAGTAGCTCACGTCAGCCAGTGTGAAAACCCAAATAGATGAGAAACCAGAGTTGGTAGCATTGGCCGAAAGGTTGTCTCCTTCGAAGCCGCCCTGCGCGGCCGACTCTTCGTCGGAGCTCTGAAGAATTAACTAGCTTCTGGGGTGCATTTGTCCCCTCTTCTTATTGTCCGAGAAGCAGCTTTACCCCTCATTCTCCACTTCAGTACTTCGGCAGTCGCATGGCCACGTTGATGTAAAGTCCCATTAAGAAGACGGAAAACCTCGTGTGTCAACCCCAAAATAGTTACTACACTCCTAACACTTCGACGTCCTGGCTTCAATTTGTGAGCAGATGAGAGAACACTGAAAAAAGAAATGAGTTGACTGAAGCACATAATAGAAGAAATGGCAAAGCTCTGACGGTAGTTACAAGACAAGTATGGTCACAGCGTTACCGGGGTAGACGATAACGTTGGGGCGTTGTCGGTCGACCTTCATTTGATCGCGAAGATGTGTGTTTGTCATAGTGGAGACTCTCTGTACAATACAGAAGACCGAGCCCTTTGCACCAGCCTTTCGCGAGCAATGTTCTTAATTACGAGCAGGCACGGGATCAAAGCCAAAGGCACTGTTCAGAGTATGAAAGCAGCTGTCGAATTGGAGGTCCAAGCCGACCAGCGAAGCTAGGGCACGCAGTGGCCGGTAACAGTCCCTATATCAACTTGCAACAGCCCAGTCAACCTACCGTTGAAAACGGCCCTTTTCGCTTTGTGCAAAATAAAAATATAGACCAATACATTTCATCACCCAAAGAACTAGGCGATCCGAACCAACAACTCTGTGATAGAGATACCAATAGCAGCTGCCATGGCTCAACGAGGTGCTTTGGCGCTTCTGAGCGATGATTCCCTGACGCTTCGCTCCATAGCAACGGAGTCGAACTGTAGGTGACATTTATTTCTTCCTTGATAGACATGAACTCTTAATCTCCGCTTGAGTGTGATTTAGTCACTAACTCGTCCCCAAACACACAGGGGAACATGCGATCTTAAAGAAGAAATTTGAGGAACTTGAATCAGTCCAGAACAAAATATTGGAAGAACAGCGGAAGTTTTTGCCGAGTTAAATATTATATAAAATAGGGAAAGCTAATTAATTGATTTCGCAGGAGAAATGAAGCTGCTTGGCCAGCATCAAAGTAGTCAAATATCGTCACCATCTCATGCAGTGTTCATGATGCTCCAGCAAGCACCGCAAGAGACGTCGCGACTTAGTCGACAGGTTCTTCAAGGCATGCGTGGAGTTTCTTCGCGGCGAATAGAGATGGCTTTAGACATCATCGGATCAGTTGCCAGGGTGGAGGGAATCAACGGAAGCGATATCGTCAAGAAAGTGACACAAATCGAAACATTTCGCATGTGATGCAGTCAAATCAGTCACAAATCCTATTTGTCCGAATTCATGAGCCCGGAAGACTGACGACACCCCTTTCGAGCGTTTGATTGTCATTAGTTGCCAGTCTCCAAGATATGTAGCCAGCCGTCACTCTTCACTACTTTTGTGGTATCCTCCGCGAGGATAGCGCGCAAGGTCGATTCCATCTTTTGCGCAATTTGATCGTTCAGTTGCTTGAGAAATCACCAGCTGAGCGAATGTTGGCCATGGGTGTCGATTATGCGCTATTATCTGAGTGGGATTTTAACGCCTTGCGGCAGCTATTCGAGATAACTTTGTTGTCTATTCCAGGAGCGGTGGTCTTCTGCGCCATCGATGGATGTTCGCGTTATCCGAACGAGGATGAACTGCAGGTCACACTGGAATACTTACTCCGGGTCTGCCAAGCACAGTCTCCCTTCGCCCTCTACACATATCCCAGCAGATACCAGAAGGCATGACGGTCTTTCTTCCTGCCACCGCAAGGCAGGAAAGGCCTGGTTTGACCTATGTCTGGCAGCCGAATGCGCTTTCCCGAAGGCAATTTGATGGACAACGGCCAGGAAGTCCTCCGCCTGTACTCTTCCGCAACCCCAAGGACGACTGAGGGGGTAGAGAATAATAAGGTGTTGAACATGCTCTTTGAGTTGAGGCTGAAGATCACGAGCTATTAAAGCTTGCCATAATCCATCTCATTTCTTATTACCTTGAGCGCTCATTTAGATTGAAATAACCGAATTTGTTCTCCTTGAACCTTATGTGAAACACTGCACATATTCAGAGTCGAATACAACAGGTACAGCCCAGTTGATTCAGTTAGCTCACCTTCTACTCAAGTCATCATTCAAACTTCCCCTCTCAAGCCCTACGCAAGCGTGTGTAATGTGCGTAGTAGCTGGCACTGGACTCTTGCACATTATCCAGAAGTGGCAAATCCTGTTTGCGTGTATGGATGTCCTGAGACGACTGATACTATTGACTACAGAATGCGGCATCATTCGCTAAAGTAGGAATAAGAAGGAGTGGTGGAGGTCTATTCAGTACTTTCCGAGAACATCTCCTAAAATAAACATTTGACCCTTGAAAGCTTCTTTCAATGTAGGTATACGGGATGGTCTGGTATAATCTTTCTAGATGAGGAATACTGTTTTTCTGTCGGAATTGTCCACGAAGATTCTGTCCTTGCCTCTGAATGATGCGATTCCGATGCGTCGAAAGCTCCCATGCTCAGTCGACTTTACTTTAGCTGGGTCATTCTCACGAGAAAGAATCAGAAACGTATCCATGAAAATCGTGCCAACTTTGGCCTCCTCAATCATCCTCGTCCTGAGAAGCAAGCAAGGGTATGGGAGTCCGGAATCTACCGGATGACCGGGATCGTCGAATCGTCCTGAGCAGGTCCAAGGTATTGGGCCTTTGGAGAAATCGGTCTCTTCATCGTTGAGCAGCATGTACGGTGGATTGTATAGCATGGCTTCTGGCGGTATGCGGACTGAAATACTCTTGACAACTCCACGTATGATGAGATGACAAGACTCAATCTGGGACGTCATCGGGATTCCCTTCCACTCGATGCCAAAGGCGACCAAGTCCAAGACATTTGAGACCTTGAAGCGGCGTTGAAATTTGAAGCCCCAATCATCTACCATGATTGGGGCGTTACAAGAAAACCAGGTCCAAGAGGGTGCTCCAGGAATACCGGGGCCCTTCTTTTGGCCATTTCTGATCCAAGCCAAGTCTCGAGCAAGATTGTCAGGGCAAATTCCGAGAATCGGTTTCTTTGAAGTTAAGTTTGTGTAGTGTTTGGTAATCCCGGCGAAAGCTTGCAGCCGGTCGGAGGCGATAGTAAAGTCTCGCTTGGAGTAATCTTCGATCCATTCAGGCCACAATTGGGAAACTTGCGTGATGGGGTATGTCGAATCACTTGCTGTAGAATGGTGGACCTGGTAGGTCTGAGTAGCTTGAGTTTCGTACAAGTATTGACACTGCCAGTGAACGCCCGACTTCAGACAGTGAAGAATCCTTGGAGACAAGATTCGCTCTTGAAGCGCCCATCCTCGTGTGCTGAGCTGTGCTTGTCGTGGAATTTCGCGGGGGTCAAGGCATTGAAAACGGATCATTCTAGTGCAAGACGTTTGGGAGTAGTCGTCCTCTCCCTTGTAGGTGAACATCCGGACTGTAGGATCTGCCTTAGCTCTTGCCGCACTCTCAGGATCATTAGTGTCTCCTGGACTCGAGTCTTTTCCATCTATAACTGCTTCCATGCTATTATCGTCTCCTGGGAAACAGCCTCCTTCGCTATCCCAAGCGTCGCTTGCTGCTATAGTGATAAGGCTTCCAGCATAGAAATCCCCCATGCGAGATGCCTCCAATTCCCACTCTGCCTGGTCATCTTGTACTATACACAAGGAGTCGATCCAAAGATAGCTGATACCTAATGAGCGGACTAATCTTATAGCGTGTCGGAAAGTTTTAGGAAGAAGGTTCTCAGGTATAGAAACGCCAAAGTCTTCTTCCGTAGCTTTTGTAGTTCTTAATGGAGTCGATGTTCCCCAGCAATAGCTCAATGTTGCATATCGCACAACGGCGGAGAGTTGCTGGAATACTTCACTCGTGGTAGACACCAGGCGTAAAGGCTGATCCGGTCTCGTATCGATGAAACGTTTTGGCAATTCTCCCTTGCGTGGTTGACAGTAGCTACCGTGCGTGCTCTCACAAGTATTCAACCAAGTCCTTGCGCATAGTATCCTGTCTTCTGCCAAAGTCCGGAGTGAATATGTCCGACCTGACATCCAGAAAGAAGGATGCTGGTATGCTACGGGAAGTGGTCAGTACATGAGTGTGAAGCTTTCTGCAGTATTGGTTTAGGAATAAGAATTGGGTTGAGACACACCCTCATCTGGATCCTGTGGCGAAATGCCTATTGATGCCTCTGAAAGATACACAAAACTGTCTCGTGTGATTTCCAATGAAACTTCAAGGCTTGCCCAGAGAATTCTACCAGTGTTGTTTACCTCCAGTACTTTCAGAGCAACGGGATGTGAGCTTTCTGTTGTTACGTGCTTGAAACGCTCTCTAGCCTAGTTCAGACTATGTTCAATCAGCAACTCCCAAAGAGCCGCGCACAACGGGCAATCTTTCTTGGAAACGAAGAGTTCTTTGGTTTCCTGCTCCCATACGATCCTTGGTGGTTGGAACTTGACAAGAGACTTTAAGCGGGCGGTATACTCAATAAAATGCCGGCAAATCTTGCAAGGGTCCATGTCGGCCCCGATGTGTTGGGGTATTGACTCAGTCAATCACTCTCCGTGCTGTTCTCGA